GCCGGGCCCCACACGGGCTGTCTTGCCTCGCGGAGCCACAGAGGACTCCGCCGTCGCCGGCCGTTTTGGGGATTTGCAAGGCAGGCAAACCAGCCTGTCACGGCCCTGTGACCGGCCATGGTCTCCGTCCCCTCTGACCATGCACCCCAGGGGCTAAGGTGCAGGCAGCGGTGTCTGCCGAGGCTTATTTTGGGACAAATAAGCCTTGACAGTTGTTAGAAACAGCCAATTTGCTGGGTTAGATGTTCTCCTGGATGTTTGCACTGACACGAAACTTAGCGAGGCTGAGATGAGAAAAGCCTTGCCTTCGGGCCTGCCCCGTGTCCGCGAGTGCCATGGACCCGTGCTTCCCATTTTCCGGTCGCCATTTTTTGGTCTCCAAATGACCCACAAATCCCTCTACGAAGCAGCACTAGCACACGTCAGAGTAGAAATTCCGGAAGTGTAAATGGTCAAAAAGAAGCGTAGGGCCAGTGGGTGGCGTGGTGAGTCAGGTGCGGGTCCCTCATGGCCGACTGGGTGCTTCGAGTCCCAGCCCCGACAACTTGAGAACCAAGTGGACAGGTGTGCCCAGAGTCCTGAGGTCGCCTTCCTCTCTCGCTCTGCCCTTCTCTGTCTCCCCACGAGCACATGTTCCCTATAGCAAACAATACAGTAAATACAGTTGGAGAGAGAGCGCCGGGTTCCCTGTCCAGAGGCGCTCACGCGGCGTTCCTGAGCGCGCCTCCCCGGTGGCTCCTGACCACCTGTGAGGACAGGGGCCCGCCTTCCTCCGCCTCAGTCGATGGGGGGGAGGCAGGACCAGGCCTGTGGGGTGGGTGGTGGTTCTGGGGGGCAGCAGGCAGCAGCTCTGGCTGAGCATCCTGGGGCCCCACACACGCCGTTCCCGGCTGTCTCCCCTCCACTCGGCACCACGCACGTCTCTCCGGGTGTGGACGGGCGTGTCTTGCCGCTTCCGCCCGAGCTCGGCTCTTTTGTAGACTGTGCACAGCAAGCCCTCCACTCCCCACATCCTGACGGACGGCCAGTTCCAGGTTTGTGGGGACCCCCCAACGCTGGAGCCTGGGGCTTCCTGGTCTGGGGATGTGAGTGGACCCCAGACCTCTACAGATCCCTGTGGTCCCCCACCAGGCTCAGAGGCAGCCCCGTGCTCTCCAACCCTCCCACTTTGCACCCATGACCGGGGAGAATGTGGCTTGGCAGGCAGCCCCAGGGTGGGGGGGTCTTTTGCCCTGCAGGCGTGAGCCCGACAGTGGTCTGCCTGCAGGGTGACCCCATGGTGGCAGCTGGCCCCTCCAGGAGTGGGGAGCTCCACGCCTCTAACCAGGCCCGGCCGTAGTCCTCAGCTGAGCACACCTATCCTCCCGCCAGTGGCAGTGGGCCCCGGCAGTGTGCCTCCTGTGCTGGGAGGAGCCGGACAACCCTAAGCCTCATTGTGCTCCAACTCTGGGGCTTCCTGCATGTGGCTTTCAAATGGCGACGAGATGGCCACAGGCAGGAGGCTGCAGAGGCAGAGGTCAGGTGCAGAGGGGCTCGGGGGCACCTGCTGTGCGCTGCCGCCATCTGGCAGGCAGGTCACCTTGGCCCAGCTGCAGGGCAGGGACCTGGTGGTGACGAGCTGCTGCAGCCTGTGAGTGCCAGCGTGGACAGCGTGTCACCCTGGAAGCTGTGCTGCTCACGGCCGCCCACTGACACTGAGTGCAAACAGCTGGTACCAAAGAGCAGGGACCGGACCAGCCGGGCGTGAGGAGTGCTGAGGGCAGACCCCACAGGCCACACCTCGCCACTGCCTCCTCCAGACAGCACCGGCCGCAGAGAGGCTGAGGAAGCCACAGTTCTCAGCCAAGTGCAGGCAGCGTCCTTGTGGCCTCCCTGTGGCACGTTGGTGCTGTCGCCACCTGGCACCGTCCACTGAGGCTGTGACCCTGTGTGCAGCGTGCAGTGAAGGTTGGCGTCTATGGCTCACTGCTGACAGCGCACCGGAGCCCCCAGGGAGGCGCGCCTGGACACCCAGACCGCACGCAGAGCCACGGTGTCACATAGCCGTGTCCTGGTCAGCTCAGGCGTGAGCCGAGGAGGGCATCGCTCTCTCCTGGCCGTATTCTTCACGGCGGGTGCTTGCTGGCTCTCTAG